CGTAATTAATTTTAGGAAAAAAACTCATTTTTAACAGAAATTAATGTAATCTTTTGAGATTCTATCGTTATTTGTGGGGGATGAAAATGAAAATCGCCATACGTTGTACAGATATCACGATCAAACGATATCTGATGTTTATCTATCTGCTTACAATGCCTACATAATTTGAATAGTACTTATCAATTTGTTGTTGATTAATTTGTAAAAAATCTATACTTAAATTATCATTTCGTAACTTATGCGTTCGAGATGAATTTGAATGAAAGTATAGGTAGTTATTTCAACTAGTTTTACCATAGTAAATCTCATCTTTGCAGCATTGTTGTCACTATGGAAAGAACTCTCTTCTTCAGTGATGACATATCGTTAAAATCAGATTGAAAAAAAAACTCAACCCACCAATCATCAGACTAATCAAATACAATACCTAGTATTTAATGCCCTAATATTAATACATATGAATATGTAGTTTTTCCCGTCTCTAAAAAGATAAGTATTTTTTTTTTCTTGGTAACGAACATCAAAATAATGTATAGTCGGAACTCCGGATGTCTCGTATCCTAGCATCATTCAAAGACCACTTTGATCTATTCTTGGCGGCAAATGGACGGTGTCGTGCATACACTTATTGATTGCAAGGCGTGATAATAAACATGACATTATTTATTGTGGCCTGGCTCCAGACTACTTCATAAAGAGCATTACGGGTTCAAAATGGTAATCTGTTTTTTTTTTTTTAAATGAACGTGACCTGTTAATGTTAACGTAAATTAAACCTTACGTCTTCAAAGGTATTTTTTTAAGGGGCACCACTTTGACTGTTAGGCGATCTCACGGGGCTTAGTCTGAGAGAGCTTGCTACATCTGTCGAAAGATTTAGACAAGATTAGTGCTTCGCTGTATCTACCACCGGCTCGGAATCGCGACCCACTGAGTCACGCTACCTTGTGACTTTCGCTAATTCTTAGAAAAATATCGATTCCTAATTATATCTAATTATTTAAAATGTCGAAAGATGTTGAGCGCAACCTGTCGTACGTTGACGGTAATACGGTAGAAACCTGTAGATGTTAGGCATGTTAAAAGACCGCACGGATAGGTGCCACAATCTCGCCTATTTCTATAGCGATGCTGCGAAAATCTGTTAACCAATTAAAACATCGCTCTCGTGCCTCAATTTAAGTGACATTCACGTTGTGATGTCCTTGGGCTACAGTGACCAACTAACACTGGGCGTGCATGACCCTTTTATCTTCTCTTTCACTGAACAAATTAATTAACGCGTGTTTAAAGAAATACGATGGACTGATATGAAACGTCACAACTTTAAAACAGTAACGAGGTTGCTAGGCAAACAGAACGAAATAAAAATGCAACATTCGCGTCGTGAATCAGTCGTTACGAGTGCTATAAAGACCCGAATTTATCAGGCGTGTACTATAAACTGAAAGATAAAAAAAAAACGGATTTAAAACTCGGAAACATGGAGCTTTTACACAATAATTTAGTATGAGCTTGCCTGAACAAAGTTTTAGTGTTTTAATTTTAGTTTTAATCGTTATATTTAGCTATATCATCTATATTTCAATGTAAAATAAATAACGCGTTTTTAATTTCACAAATCTCGGAAAAAATGTAATTACCAATGGTCGATCTTAATGCTTAGAATCTGATAATTAAAAAAAAAAAGTTTGATTATGTTTTCTGAATGATGAGTTCGCTGAATGATTTGTTTATTCTTGAATGAGTAAATATTTGGACGAATGTCCAACTGATGTAGCTTAACAAGTTACAGTTTGTTTTGGTAGTCATGTTAAAATAAAAAAATATTACAAATCGTGTATTATGAGTCCACACTAGTGTGTACTATACTAGCGATTTCTGTCTCCAAGTAGTCAAGTATTCCAGTTTGAAGATTGAGGTATACAATACAATTGAAATTTCTAACTCATGGGTCAAGGCAAGTGGCGGTATTCACATTCTAAAGTCTAAGAGTTACGGTAGATCATCGACTGCTCATCCAGAGTGGTTCGATAACGTCACTATTCCGTGGATAACGTGCTATTTTCATTAATCGTTAAAAAGCAGTACGTCCCTAATTTAAGCCAAAAATATCATGTTATTTTAAATCAAAAAGGAAAAGAAAAGTATTTCCGCCCTAATTAAAATTTTAACGTTTGTAGTTAAATCTAATTTAATATATCCCGTTTAATACTTATTTTCATTTAAAATAGAACTTCATTCTAACTTAGCTTAGCTAAAGTCTACATTGAATATAAAATATGTAGTATGTATGAATGGTAGGAAATCATGTTAGCCCGCACAAGTGGGTACCATCACTCTACCTATTTCGGCCGCGAAGCAGACATCAATTACCGTTAGAAAAGTGGCATAGCTATCATTTCATAAAATTGTGATTTCAATCTCATGTCACAAAATGGTGACGGCTTTCAAACTAAGAGGTCCGATAATTGCCAACAACCGGTATACTGTAAATAAATATTAGCAATAAAAAACGTTTAAATGGAATAACATCGAATTTGTCGCGGCTTTTTTATAGTGGAATTTTGAATCACTACATATCTAATACGAGTATAATATGTCAAATATGTATCGATATCTAAAATATCGATATGTTCTTGTTCAATATTTAACAATTGAAAGAGAGCTTTTTGTAAGCTAGAGAAAAACTTTTTAACAATTACTAAGCACTATGAAACGATTGAATCATTTTCTTTAATAGGCCGCGTCAAATTGTTGTTTATTTTTCTTAATCGACCGGAGTATTACCGCATTTAGAAACTTTTCGATATTCCCGACGTCCCCTCGTGTCGTGAGTCAGGCAAATTACGGCTTTTGTGATTAATGCGAGCTATTCCTGTGCGTATCCTTCGAATTGTTCACCTTCCTTTGTTCTTCAAACGTCTATTGTTTTACATATCGTTGGACCGATTAGATGACAGTTATAGGGGCATTAATTGGTGAATAATAAGCAAAACCATTTCGTTTAGTTGCGTGTTCCTTTAAAGAAATTGTTGTCATCTACAGACATCAATCGATATTGTGATACAAATGTATAACAATAGTACTCTTCTTTACTAATATTATAAAGAGGAAAGATTTGTTTGTTTGTTTGTTTCGAATAGGCTCCGAAACTACTGGACCGATTTGAAAAATTCTTTTTCCATTAGAAGCCGACATTGTCCTTGATGAACATAGGCTACTTTTTTAAAAAAAAAAAAAAAATTATTTTTTTGGTTTCATGTGTGTTTTAATGTTTCCGAAGCGAAGCGAGGGCGGGTCGCTAGTCAAAAAATAATTGAAATAGAAAAGATTTACGTAGATCTTCAACGAGAAATTAACTGTGAGCGGGAAGATGAATTACGTTTGATATATCCAACCTCATTTACTGCAGACATAAAAAACTTTAATTCGAATATCAGGGTCAACGCTCTAATATAACATAGTGTATAACTATTAAGATTCTCATGTTTCACACATCAGGACACGATAGCTCTGTTACCAAATTGAAAAGGTGTTCTTATGTGTGTTGTGTGTATGTTTAGTTTTAAGCTGTGAAAGTTAAACGGTGGAAATTTGAAGTATTCAAAATGTTTAGATTAACGCGACGCTCGGGAAAATGTAAGTATTCAGTCATCAACCACATAATAATAATAATAACTGGAAACAAACAACGCACGGATATCCGTCCCAAAATTAGGATTCCCTGTGTATGGTTACCAGAGACCGACATATACGCTTATATACATTTAAATATATAGATATATATCTAATAAATATGCAGACAATTACAGACAGGCTTACTAGTGGTAGGATATGTTGTGAGTCCGCACGGGTAGGTACCACCGCCCTGCCCATTTCTGCCGTGAAACAGTAATGCGTTTCGGTTTGAAGGGTTGGATAGCCGTTGTAACTACATATATTGAGACCTTAGAACTCGTATCTCAAGGTGGCTGGCGGCATTTACGTTGTAGATGTCTATGGGCTCCGGTATAACCACTTAAGATCGTCCACCCATCTAAGCAAGTAAAGTAAAGTCTATTTATTCTAGTTCGATTGATCAACAACCAGAAATTTGCTCTGTAAAGTATTAAAATGCCTACTTCGTTGAAATGATTGATGTTAATGTTAAACTGCTCAATCCATTAATTTAATTCAAGACAATTTTTTCCAATACATTTTTGATTGAACGTGCATGTGATATCACCTAGTGTGGTTTAATTGTGGTATTTATTTGTCAGTATACTATGATACATTAGTATTCGAATTGCAACAGTCGATATCAAATACTGCGGTCTGTTTGCAGCCCTCGTGCCACGTATTGTGGTCAGCTTTATTGCGCTGTGGCTTAACGTAAAGCTGCTTGGTCGTGTGCAGCTCACTGTATGCGTTATAAGCTATTGTAATCCGAGTATTTGTGTTAGATTGTCCAGTTAAGATATGGTTTAAATTCAGTGGAGGTTTATTCAAATAATATCGTATTGTACTACTAGATATATGGACTAGATATTTGATAGATGAAAATAATAATAATAATAAAAATGTGTGGTGTCGTGGGACACCGGATAGGAACGAAGTTCCTTATTATAAAAATATTAATTTAAAGTTCTATTTAAGGTATAAAGAAAATAAAACTGGAGGCTTCGCAACAACCCACGGTCATTCGGTAACGTGCGAACTTATTGTGGTACACTTCATTCACGGTTGTTTGCATAAGAGTTAGTGTATTGCGCAAACGAACGCTCTGAGATCGTGGTCAATAAGTGATTAAAAAATATGTAATTTTTTGTACGTTATTACAAAGTTAAGTTGTACACTGTGTGCATTACTAAGAAAAATCTTACGTTACGGATGTTTTTTCCCGGTTAGGGTACCCTTCCGCATCGTCCCATAAGGAACTTCGTTCCAATATTATATTACCCGACTATAATCGCGTTCTAGTTATTCGCTCTAAATGTTTTGTTTGTATATTTCAGGTCCGCGCCATGGAGCAGCGGCTATGCGAATGGCCGGCGGGCACTGACGGTGCACCTAAAGCCATCACGCGACTCGAGGGCCAAATTGAAGAACAGGTATGACATATTTTTTAGCAGAATTCTGTTCAACAGCTATATTCCGATATTATGATTCATACGTACGTCCTAATGTGGAATCCTTCAAAACAGCGATTAAATCGCTATTCGGTTCGGTCAAACCAAGCTACAGAATGAACTAAAAACACAAAACAGATTTTTGAGATCAGAAACGTTTTCACATGAAGCGGCATTTCCAATTTTATATAGTTATAATAAGTATATAATAAGGCAATTTTATAAAGTGTAATAAGGTCTTCTAATCCATAAAAAAGTGTAGAAACATAGTTCTCAGTTTGTAAAACAAAAATAAATTATAATTAGTATTGAAGCTTGTGAAGTATTGAGAACTTGACTAATGAAGAAACATCCTTACTCTTCCAAATAGGCATTTTATTTAAATTATTGAAGCTTGTTTTTGATTTTCAATTATTTTGAACAAAAATACTTAGTAAACAATGATTTCTTTACACACTCACTTTATGATAGGGACAGTCCTAAAATTAGAATACCAAAAATAAGTTATTGCAGTTGGACTGTTTCAAACTCTAAACATTAATTTCAAATTAATTTGATTTGATTTAAACGAGTACTGAACATAATATGTCGTAGTTTAATCTTAACGTAATATAACATAGCTATTGGTAGTATCATACTTGTAACTACTCTTTATTAGACCTCAACTAGGTATTCTATAAACTGGGACTTTTTGGCGGGAACGCGAGAAGTGAAGTTGTGTGATTTGTTTTATTTTGTCTATTTAGTGTTCCTTCAGGTTGAAATGTGTAATAACGGTGGTTTATTAACTGTTTAATATCTGTGAAAGTGCACAAATGTGGGAAAATGAAACAAAGCTGCTGGACGTAGCTTATCGGGATCCTCCAAAATGTCCACTGAAAAAATCTCAGTAAATGGCCACCATTTTACTGAGATTATATTCATCACATATCATCTCAATTAATTTAATTTCATCCCAGTTGATTAATATCTCAAATTAATCATCTTCATTTTATTTCATTTCATTTCACTCCATAAATTAAAATAAGATATGACCCAAAGGTCTTAATTACCAGGTCATAAAATCCCTTAAAAAAAGTTATATAAACTGTTTGTAAACAAAGTCTTGATTGTCTTGAAATAATTGAAATTAACAGCTTTCAAACTTTTGCCCCTATTATCTATCAAACCATAAATATTAAATAATAAATGGAACTCAATAAATTTTAATAAATTTTCAATATAATATGTTCAAGAAAAATGCAGGTAATTAGAAATCAATTTCCTAAAAAATTATAGCAAAGAATTAAGAAACCCCATTCATGACAGGTTGCTTAAAACAGTTTGAAAACATATTTGTAATTAATTTGTATTGTTTGCATTGTATTTGCAATTATCTATGCATTAACGGACAATGAGGAGTATGTAGCAGAATTTATTTTATATTGAATACTTCCTTTAAATCGTAAAAATACATATTATTATTACCGTATGAGCCGTTACTGTTTAAATATTGAACAATTTAAAATATAATATTTTTAGACGTATGTAAATTTATCATTGTATTTTAATACATACCTATATCTTTAATAAAGAACATTAAACTTCATATTAGTAGTTAATAACAATAGCAGCAACTTATGCTCAGTCTTCTCCTTCTAGTCTTAGATTTGTTTTCATTTATGACAATTTAATTTTAAAATAAATTTCAAAATTTTATGAAATCCAATTCTAGATATTTATTCCTCCGTGATATGCAACTGAAATATATTAATATTATGGTAAATTCGTTTTATTTAAATTAAAATTTCTACCTCAGGAATTTTCATATCTTTTTAGTTTATCAACGCAACCCACTTCCGGAAAAAGTATTAACACTTTATTAACACTTTCATTATTTCAGAAGCAGCTGAGACTCCAAGACGCGAAGCAAGTAGAGGCAAAAGCGGCCCGAATCAAAGAGTGGGTGACTAATAAACTTAAGGAACTTGAACAGCAAAATCAGCTGCTTAGAGAACAAAACGATAGGTGCAACCAACAGTTGGAACTACTGAGGAATCACATAGCAGCACAGGGGAGCAGAAATTCTACGGTAAATATAATTTGTCGTCCTTTTACAAACAATTTATTGGTGATGGTTATTTAGTAAAACTGAAGTACATTTTACTAGATATTTTAAATAATGTAGAATTTAAATTATTGTCAAATTAAGGTATCATAACCATTTGACTACTTTCTCAGAACCTCATTTCCATGCTTGGTGATTCCTTTTTTAAATGGAATATGAATCACTACCCAAGGACACTCTTGTTTTAATTTATCAGTCATTCTAGAAATAGTATAATATATTACCAAGTCAAAAAAGATTTAATGTACAAAGGGTTGATTAAAATAAAGAAACACATTTTAAATAGAGAACCTTCTTTGCTTTCAATTTGAAATTTCCTATTATGAGTATGTCTAAATTGTTAGTTAAATTAGCTTCCCAAAGCTTGGATGTCTATAGCACGTGTACCCTCCTCAGTTTCTGCCCACTCGCGCAAGCCTCTCGCTAGAAGTGAGGACAGACGACAGCTCGTCCCGAGCTACGTCCAGTCTTTTGGCGTCCAACAGACGTCGCTCTGAAAGCCTAGAGGGGCCTAAGGTAGAACATAGACTGCCCTTAGGGCCCTACCACATGCTTTATCTGTTTCTGATCTTTATTTACTTGAACACTTTAAATTTACTTAAAACACTGCTTATTTTCTTATGTCATTTGTTTAAGCAATAATTGATTTGCACACAAACACAATTCACTTGCATTGCAAACAACATGAATGCTGTACCTCTTTCTTATTTTAATTTGCCTTTTAGAAGGCTGTCTGGAATAAATTTCCATGCAAGACCCTATTTTGCACATTTTTAATTTTTCCTATCACCTTGAATGTTTTGTTTTGATAAATATAATACTAACACTAAAAACACTAACAATCTACAGTTTGTTTACTAATACGTTTGAATAGCAGCCATGGGCTCCATAACTGCTTCATATCGTGTTGCCATGAGTTTGTCTACTCCATCTATCTATAACTGTTCAGGTCATTGATACTAACAAGACAATTAAGACACATTTTTATTTACAAGCTCGAGGCTATTCTTGGTAAAAGAAAAAATAATAATTCCAAAGCACTGGTTATCAACAAGTACTGGTGTAATATAAACTTCATTACCTTATGATATAATATCTTGAAATAATTAAAAATATTTCTTTCACGTTGATAAGTAAATGTGAATAATTTAACTACATATAGTATTAAAAACAAAACAAAGAATATGAGAGAGAAAATAAAATGTTACAATTTCATTATGCAATAAACAAAAAATTTAATTATATACTTTTTCAGCTACCAATAAACACGTCTGAGCCACACTACAGTACGCCTGTTAGACATAGACGAAATCTTTCAATCGGTACAACCAATATTGCGAACAACATCAATACAAATTCAGCTCTTAACACCATGAATCGAACTATGGACGAGAGGACTACAGCCAGTTTATTGGCTGATGACCTAGCGGTAAGTCTTTGTCTACCAGTTCAAATGTAATATTACCATGTAGATTTCTATGTAATATCAAAAATTAAATCTGATTTGTAGTACATATTAATTTGTGTATAACACGAATTATAAATTATATGTATAATAAATTTTATTAATATTGAAAAATTGTATCTGTTAACACAGTAACAGATAAGCGGTCTGAAAAAAAGTATGCACTGCCTTTTACATATTTTTTTAAATAACCTTAATGTGATGCAGAAAATTAACTTTCTGTGAGTTCTACAAACAATTAGCATTAGATATTTTTATGAATTAGTCTGCGGTAGTTAACAGGGAAATCGTTCCAATTATTTTGATTCTTATACTGGCTGAAATAGGATATATCATACATCAACAGCAATAACTGTCATTAAACAAACAACATATTAATTTTCAGACGGCTGTAGAGAATCTAGTGGTTCTACCCACAACTCCGAACACGTCTACAGACGGCGATACAACCCATGATTATGCTGAGATTTATACTCCAAGTAGAGGTAAAAAAAATCTTACTCCCAATCACTCACGACGAATACAGCGAAATAAAGCGTGATTGTCTGCAAGCCACATGACATAATATAAATATTAACGCAGTTCGTACTCTCCTAGGAGGGAAATTGCAACATATTGCGAGTTTATTAAAGATAAACATGATACCGAAATTTATGCCTAGCAATAGAATGATTTTCCGTTCGTGTATGTAGCGTAATACCATTCTGAATGCTTCACAATAAACACTGTTATGCTTTACAGAGCGCACCCCGGCATGGCAAGGTGTGAACGTGGTGGTTCAAGGTAATAGTCGTGGTGGGTCTTCCACTGGTGATAGCGCTGCTTCGGATCCTCCCCGGCCGCCCACCCCACCCCTGCACCGCTTCCCCAGCTGGGAGGCCAAGATCTATCAGGTATGACGTTAATATCATGGCCGACTGACCCAACAAGTAGATCGGAACGAGAAATTTTAAATCTATATATTAATACGTGAAGCAAAAACTTTGTATCCCTTTTTACGAATATAGCGCTGACGGAGGAGTATGAAATTTTCCACACTTATAGAGAATATAGAGAAGAAGTGCACAATGCTAATTTTTTTTTTAAATAATGCATAAAAGATACATTAAATCAATAAAGAAAACATTACGCACACTACATACCATGTATTTGACGCACACACGCATGCATACTATTTATTGTCAAACTTTTGTTCTTGACGTCCTCGGTCACATTGAGAATAGATTAAATATTGTTTGTCTTTATTAATATTTTTTTATAGTGTAGCCTTGGCGAAATTTGTGATTATAGAAGTATAAAACACAATCATAATAGTGTACAAACTTACAATTCCAATTAATTATAGTCGAATTTCGACTACTGCGGGACCTCTAGTTTAGAATAAATATTTATTGAATACATTTGATTCACAAAAAAAAAAACAGAAATCTCAAAAAAATTATATCTCCTTACAAAATTTGAACCCTGACACAGTCGCTTCACTCTATACCAGGTATCGTAACTATTGGGCCACAATTTCAGGCGGTCACATCGTCTCTGCATTTAGAGCCTTTAAACCGGAATTAAAGACGAAAGTACCCGGATAATAGTGCCTATCGAAACTTTAGAGACCTATCGAGACTTTATATGTCAAGCAGGCGTGTTTGGTGTTACTAGTCCTTAGCTGGCCTGGACTTTACATTCCGAATTTCGTCCCGCAGGTAGCAGACGATGGACTCCAACAATCGGTAGAGGAAGAACTAAGCCCCCCGCCGTGCTCCCGTCCGATGCACGAGTCGACCAGCTACCAGGACATATCCGTACCCGTTTACGCTACCGTGAAAGGGGTCAGTCTTTACTAGCTATATTAATTTGGTTCGTTACAAATTTTTAACTGTTTGTAGTATCAAAACAATTAATTGACAAAGATAAGAGAAAAGATACTAAAGCATTTAGTGTTTATATAATAATTTAAATAAATCAAACTACCCGCATTAAGAACATATAATAAATAAATCTTTGCTATATAGCTAGAATGGCCACTTATCTTAGTTTGTTTCCCACAGCGAGCCAGCCAAATAAGGTCGATGCCCTTCACCGGCGACTCCTCAGACGACTCTTCTGACGGTGAAGAGTCTATGGGTGTAACGGTCCATAACACTCCGCACCATCAACTAGTCAACACTGCTTATAGTAAGTTTTTTTTTTAGTCTTTAGGTCTTAATTGTAATGAACCAAATTTAGGTTTTGGTTAATCACAATTAAGTCGTAATATAATCTGCCACTACAATAGAAAATAATGCAATTTTTTCTATTTGTAATGTTCATCTGATTTTTATTATTATTAATTACAAAATTATTCATTATGATTGTTTTAAGAGTTTTTTTAAACCATGAACATAATTGAAATCTAATTGACAGTGTCTTCGTTTGCTAATTATCTAATTGTTAAGATCAATGTTTGTGTTTGTCATATGAATGTCATATTATGAGCTATTGTTTCATTTAAAAAGCAGAATTATAAATTTTAAACAGAACATCTTTGAAATCCAAAACATATAATATGACCATTTTATTTGATTTACTTTTGGTACATATTAATCTCCATAATAGTTTTGGTGGTAAATGGTAAAGGTTATTTCAAAATTGGTTGCTATTCTGGATTTCATATTTGTTAAAATTACTCATTGTATTTTTACTTTTCTAATTTCATAATGCTCTCAACTATTGCACTGTAATTGAGATTTTGATACTTGGAACTTGCATATATTCAAAATTATCTTGAAAATAGCCCTAGCGACATTCAGACGTCTCTCGGAAATCTTTTGATCCATGATGGCTACCGCTTTAGAGTATAATTTGGATACACATATGTTATCGATATATCGTATTTATGTCAGTCTCTGGTAACCATAAAACATGGAATCCTAATATTGGGCCAGAGCAATGTGCGTGATTTGTTCACAGTTATTGCTATTATTATTATTATTATTATTAATCTCTTCCCAGGCGGACAAACATCACAGATGCCAATAAACAACGTGAACCTAACAAATGTTCTGCCGGCCTCCATACAACAAACCTCTAGTCACGGTCTAGTACTAACTAACAGCGCCAACGGACAGTGCAGTTCTTCTGACACCAGCCTAAGTGCCAGTAGTCCTTCGAAAAGTGTCAAGACCAGCTCAAGTTTAAGTCCCGCAAAGAGATCGAGCAGCGGGTCGCCGAGCAAACAGAGTAAAACTAGAGGTGAGTATCGATAAAATCCGAAACGATATAAACATATCGACGTTGTTGACTAGAAGTTTCTATTTTTGTCCCCCAGTATCAATAATACAGAGTGCGATTTTACATATTTGATGGATCAAGTCGTCGTGGCTTAAAGTATAAGACGTCCGGTCTAATCGTATCTAGCGATGCACCGGTATTCGAATCCCGCAGGCGGATACCAATTTTTCTAATGAAATATGTACTTAACAAATGTTCATGATTGAATTCTACGGTGAAGGTTATTCCTTCATCCATCGTATAATAAAAATCAAACCCGCAAAATTATAGTTTGCGTAATTAATGGTGGCAGGATCTCTTGCGAGTCTCCGCACGGGTAGGTACCACCACCCTGCCTATTTCTGCCGTGAAAAAGTAATGCGTTTCGGGTTGAAAGGGGGGGGCAGCCGTTATAACTATACTTGAGACCTTGGAACTTCTCATCTCAAGGTGGATGGCGGCTTTTGCATTTTAGATGTCTAAGAGCTCCAGTAACCGCTTAACGCCAGGTGGGCTGTGAGCTCGTTCACGCATCTAAGCAATAAAAACACATGTCTAGGAAGTTAAACATTTTTAAAAAATCCTTGTTTCAAATCATGATTCATAAATCAATCAAGTTTTTATAGAGATATTCTAATGTTCAGTTACATCTTTTTTTTAAAGATCGTAGAAAGAAAAGAACATATTTTGTTGGAATACATACATGTCTTTAATGGAGGAATATATGTCTTTAAAAAAAATTTCAACAATATTTGACGTTGTTTTATTTTTTTTTAAATAAAAGAACACTTATCACGGCATAACTATAATAGTTAAACATATGCTGTCGCGACACTTTTTGTAAATAATAATGTGTTCTACAAAGTCGTAGTACATTATTTTATTCTATCGTCAATAGTTTTCGCAGGACACGCGATGTAAAGAATATTTTAGGTAATTTTTTTACACTTAGGGTTACATTATTGGAGTTTTAGTAAGGAGCCTTAATTTTTTTCAAAAAAGATTATAGCCTATGTCACTCGGGAAAATAGTGTAGCTTCCAAACAGTGAAAGAATTTTTGAAATCGGTTCAGTAGTTTCGGAGCCTATTCAATACAAACAAACAAACAAATCTTTCCTCTTTATAATATTAGTATAGATTTACTAGTATTTTCAAACTTCATGTATATAAATAATAAATTGTATACAGACACGTCATTCGAGTCGGGCATGTCGGACGACTACGCGATCCCGCCGGACGCGGTGTCGTGCGAGAGCGCGGTGGCGGCGCGGCCCGCGGACTCGCCGCGCCGACACGACGCGCTCGAGAAGGCGGGACATCTCGCCAAGCTCGGCGGGAAACTCAAGACCTGGAGGAAGAGATGGTGAGGACTAAACGTTATCAGGCTTTTACTTGGGAACGGTCAAGCGAAGATCTTCCACCAAGGATATCGAGTTGATCGGATCTGATGTCATTTGTAGTTAAGATTATCTTGAGTTTGTCGTTAGCAAGTTTTCGATTATTTTTTTTGTTAAAATTTTGCGACACTAGCGACATCTGTCTTTCATGGTTAAAAGACGGAAATCAAATGTGTCACTATAAGATACTTTTAATTAGACGGTACGCGATTAGCGGAGCCTATAAACACTGCAAGTCAAGTCTTAAATAATATTAAAACAAAAATTCCAAATGCCAGTCGCATTGGAATAACAAAATTTGTGACAGACATATTCTTTACTGCGAGTCTCAAGGTATATCATTGTATATTCACAGGTTCGTCTTAAAAAACGGTACCCTGTCGTACTGGAAGTCTCAGTCAGAGGTGAATCGGAAACCTCAAGGGCAGATAGGCTTAGGAGAAGCCTGTAAGATATCGAGGAACGAAGGAGCCGCCACGTTTGAGATATTCACCGGAAGTCGCACGTACTATCTAACGGCAGACAGTAATGCTACCATGGAGGACTGGATAAGAGTTTTACAGGTATGATTCGAGTTAAAGTTGTATGTGCTGTGACGGAAAAAACAAAAACTGAAAAGTAAAATCGAAAAGTGTCATGCATCCCTTTCCCTCGTTACTGAGCATAGTGATTCGTTTGATTCAGTTTGTTGACCGTCTCTGTCTCCATCGACTTCGTTATTCGCTTGTATTTATTGATTATCTTTTTGTGACGGTGAAAATACCTCTCTAAACTAATTCATTTGTTTTACAGAACGTACAAAGGAGGAACGCCACAAAACTCCTGTTAAGCAAAGAAGACAATAAACCGACGATCCAGGGCTGGTTGACCAAAGTTAAGAACGGACACGCCAAGAAGAGTTGGTGCGTCCTAATCGGGAAGATGTTCTTATACTTCAGATCGCCAGGAGACCAGGTATTACGTAGTGACTGTCAATTAATTAATACTACCCACTACTTACAACGGTAGTTATAATATGATTAAAATGTCCATGAATAACACCTAAGTCTTCCGTGACCACGAAAACTGCAGTCTTTGAAACCTCGGCAGTAATACAATGACAATAAAAAGCGCGAAATCGAATCGTAAAAGTAGATTTGATTATGTCAACGACTCGAGAAAATCGTCCTAAATACTATTATCATTACATTTAAAGATAAAGTTTAGACTGAATTAAGAATTATATAAATTAAATTAAAAATAGTTAAAGAAAGTTTCCAATGAAACGTTAATGGTCATCGTGAAAGTATAGATAGATATTCTCAAAGGTTTCTTTTATCAGTACGAGGTGCTTCTGGTCAACCATTAAATGTTCGTATCTCGTGTGATTGGTTGGCTTAAAAGACTTGTTAAAATGCAATAAATGCTTGTTAAAATCTTTAAAAAAAACTTGACATGATATGCATGATCGATCACCACCAATGCACAATCTTTCATATTTGCTTTCAATTTTCATAAAAATCTTTACAATGTGAAGTGTCCTCAAGACTGCTCGCTGCAGCTTGTAAACAACGTAATAACGTTGTTAAGTGGTTGTGAAAGCACATAGACATCATATTGTTAGCGCCGCTGTTTACTTGAGACATGAGACTGGAGTGCCTCAATCCAATCTTATATTGGACGTCTTAACCGGAGCATATGACAGCCTTCCATAAGACATAAGCAGGATGGTGGTATCTAACACCGGTAAAATGGATTCAGGAAGAACCTGACCGGTATGAAGGACAATACAGGTGTACCGATGCAATTGAAACTTTAATATTATTTCTAAAGATGTGCTTAAATGTACATGGGCCGGAAACCTCATGTGCGTGCTCGTAGCGTTGCTCATCTGAGCACATTGTTTATAATAAACCTGATTGACTAATTTAATATATATTTATGTACTCCAGAACCCAACAGGCCAGATCAATATGCGTGACGCACGCGTCGAGGACGTGGAACACGTCTCGGATTCAGATTCAGAGGAGAAAAACGACGACACTAGAAATCACCTCACTGTCGCCATCTACCCGCAGCAACAGGTAACTGGGGTTAGTGACGTCATCTTTATATTACGCACGCCTACACTAATGCATGATTGTGAAGTTTTAAAGGCTTAAACGTAGTTGGCTTGCATGATAATTGGCTGATTAATAAACATTAAATTTAGTTTTAACTGAAGTTTTATTCTCGACAACGGAAAACACTAAAGTTATAGAATATCGTTCCGTATTCACTAGTATCGAACACTGACTGGTAGTCATTATATTGCTACTAGGCTGCAATCTAATGTACGCATCAGGTCTTCGTTCACTTTGAATTCTATTGTTTTTTTTTTTCTATTGTTATTTAATGCTTTTTCCTTTAACTTAATGTTGCTCCGCCGCTCCGCCCCGCGCTCGCGAACACAGTCGAACCTTCCCGAACGTTCGTGTGCTACGACCATTACTAAGGTCTCAATTATTCTGTATCGTCGGTCGCTCCCTAGTTGCTAGATGGCGTTAGTTGTTATTATTGTATTTTTATGCTATTATTATTATTAATTTTGTTTATTGCCCTTGTAGGCAGACGGACATACGGTCAACGGTGAGTGGTTATCTTCGCCCATGGACTTCAGCAATGCCAGGGGCAGAGCCAAGCCACTGCTTACCGAATTATTAAATGTCACTATTCAATTGTGATTTTTTTAAACAATAATACAAGTCGTCGGTGGGTAGAGTAATAATGCTGTGTACTGCACCAAGCGGTGTCGCTCCGATTTCAATGGTCGATATCAGTAGCAAACTAATTGACCAGACCGATAAAGTATCTAGATCGATTGTTTTCGTTTGAATTTCTAATATCAAAATTGTATTCTTCTTGCAGGGTCCAACGTACTTGTTATTCGAAAGCAAAGCAGACAAAGACTCGTGGTTGTACCATCTCACCGTGGTCAGTGGCGGCGGACTCAGCCAGGGAACGCACTTCGAGCAGCTAGTCCAGAAACTAATGGAAACCGATGGAGATCCCAGTATGACTTTTCCTAGTAAACAATATATAAGTATAACGGGCAGTATGGTGTCTTGTGAGCCCGTACGGGTAGGTACCACCGCCCTGCCTATTTCTGCCGTGAAGCAGTGACGAGTTTCGGCTTGAAGGGTGGGGCAACCGTTCTTTAAGCTGAAACTTATAACTCATGTCTCTTAATGGGTGGCGACATTTAGGTTGTTGATGTCTATTGAGTCCGGTAACCACTTAGCAACGGCAATAATAAAACTAGACTATCTGGTAGATAATGTTACTTTTGTAATGAATACCGCTATCTTTTGAAGGAGGCTACAATCAATGTGCCAATGCAACTGAGACTTGAGTATTAGTATATTCTTTGGTTTTTGTGAGTCGTACCTAATACTTAAAACTACTTTAACGACACAATCACGCGTTTATTATTAATCATCACATTATTTCATACGAATCACATATTTAACATTTTGCGTAGCCCCGGACGCGGTCAGTCTAAACTATAATTGTACAAGCGAGAAAACGTACCACAGACATTTTGTACGCCATTCAAATATTAAGGTGTTCCGTGATTATGATCGAATTTCGATCACTGAACAAACTGTAGTAACAATAAGTTGTTTATGGCGTATGTCATTTTCCTAGTTCTCGTTTCATTGGGTACGGTCGGCACGACAAGTATCGAAAAATTTAATTTTTCCAACAGTTGTATGACTATTTCGGTTACATGAAGTTGACTCTGCCTTGAAAAAGACGTTCAAACGATATTTTGTAATTGGTAGTCCATTTACATTTTCCGTACGGAGACCTGTATTTGTTCTTATATCAAATGTATAGGTTTCCGGGATCCATAACACAGAAGAAAATTCATTGAAAATTTCATCTAGCGTTCTCAATGTCCTCTCATTTGATTTTAGATTGCGTTTTATGGAGACATCCGACGTTGCTTTATTCAAAGGAGAATTTGACGTCACCGCTGACCTCGCTCAATTCAGAGGCTCTACAGGCAGAGGCACTGAAACTGTTCAAGGTATAACTGTCGGTATTTGTTTTAATATTAATCCATGGATAGATTTGTTTTATTAAGAGTGTCAATTAGGACTGTTTCATTCTTTGAGCCCAGGCAGAGAATAAGTAGCTTTGAAATAATCATTAATTTAATATTTAATAATCACTAAACAAAAGGCTAAACTGAAGTGCTCTTAAATTTCTGATTAATTTACATAATAAGATGTACATACTTTTAAATGTAATGGAATAATATTTTTTTATTCTACTTCGACTATCACAACATTTTGTTTATCATGAAAACTAGTTTTCTATAAGTTATTTTCAAGGTATTTCTTAAATTGTCAACCCTAGTTGGGTTTGTGGCATCATCCTGCCACGGCTATCTGAGTGCGGACCTGCACGCAAAAATCAGGTGATGCGTGCGCGCACCAATCAGGAGCCAACGCGCGGCCGCGTTATGGCAGGTGACGCCGGGCTGCTGCGCCGGCAGCATCACCTGATTTTTGCGCGCAGGTCCGCACTCAGGTAGCCGTGGCAGGATGATGCCACAGGTTAATAGAGTTTATGCAACAACAATAAGTTTATTTTTAATAATTCACCTTTCTTTTTGTTCTGATAACTTGTGAATATCTATAAAAATTATAAATAATTTCAAATATCAAAAGTAATTCTATCAGTTATTCCAGAATGACCCACAGTTCGAAAAACTGGCGAATCATAAACTCAGCGATTCAACTAAATATCTTAAAAAAATCTGCAGGACTGTATTTTATGTACTTTTCTGTGCATTTGCTATTTTGCTTCAAATACCCAGCGCTACTAACTGAATAAGACCAGAAATGTAAATATCTTCAAATCTTATGTTGTGTTTTGTGCATTTGCCTATCCCATCTCAAATACCCAGCGCCACTAAATGTATAAGAACAGATACGTTATCATACTGATTGTATACACTACGTTCCAGTGCGTGCAGCTGTTCATGTCGGTGTGCGTGGAGCAGGCCGGCATAGACTACCACGTGGTGCTGGCGCAGAACGCGCTGCAGCAGTGCCTCGAGGTGACGGAGCTGCAGGACGAGCTGTGCGCGGCGCTGGCCCGCCAGACGGCGCCGCACGCGCCCGCCAAGCACGCCGTGCAGGTAACACGACACAAGCGCCTTAACGCCAAGCTTGCACACGTAAGTCCACACGCCTCTCTATATACTTACACGACCGCATGCGGGCACGTCGCCGCCACGTCACCGTCTCTTCTAAACCTATTCGACATTAAAACATCACGCTGTGTATGATGTATAAGGCCGTCAGCACAAAAGTGGCCAAAACTCATTATAGTTATTATGGAGCAATAGAGGATTAAGTTTTCATGAATTTGAATTTGAATGGGTAAAAAAACTATACTGAGACCTTAGAACTTATATTGCAAGGTGGGTGGCGCGACTACATTGTAGATGTCTATGGGCTCCAGTAACCACTTAACACCAGGTGGACTGTGAGCTCGTCCACCCATGTAAGCATTAAAAAAAAAAACGCAAAAATAATTTTTACAAAGCCATCTGTTATCTATGGGTGAAACTATGGAAAGGCCGGTTTTGCATCAAAGATTTATTATATTTTAAATAAATTGCAATATACATATAAGCGTGATTATGAAAAATTCTTGGTTAGGCCACTTTTGCGCTGACGGCCTCATATAGCGTGTTCACTTTCGTCAATTGTCAAATAAAATTACATTATGAGGGTGATGCTACCGCGACGTGAACGTATTTAATTTAATGAAAAGGTAAACTTAGAACAAATAATAATGTCTAAGTTCATCTTTAAAAGCTTACATGAGAGATTGAACAAAACTTAAGTTACGTTAAAAGTAAAGTCGCCTAAAATATGTTTTATGATATCTCTCCTGTAAGAAAACCTAGTGTCTCATAAATATTTTCCATTGCTTAAAATAATGGAAAACGTTTCATGATAGGCATGGCTTTCGATCTAACAATGAAAATGTTGTAATATTTCAAAAATGTACAGATAAAGTTGAAATTTAAAAAAAATGCTTTTTTATCGGCGTAAAGCTTCGCTTCGGGCGGTACGCTTCAATGCTTTTCTCATATGTTATCGATCATAAAATCATCACTATCACCAATCGCATAAGTATCATTTTCGTTTGTCTTCGTATTTAGTGACTTCAGACACCTTGTAGAACATAGTCGCTCATAAATGTTGTGCTCTGAAAAAGTAGTGGCCACCTTGGGAGAATTGCGATTAAAGGACTCTTTGTAAATCAATTTCTAATAGCATTTATTTTATTAATTAATAACGATCTCATTGACGGGAATAGTAGAATGAGAATAAACTGAAGATTAACGTGACTCGGAAAATAATAAATTTACAAAAAAATGCATATTTAAAAATAATTCGTAAATTCTGGACACTTTCAGGAAGCACATTAGAATAAAGAAAGCTTAAGAATATCTTTATTTGGCGTTTTTTTTTAATTATAATTATGTAAATATACACTAACAAGCCATTTTAATATATACAGTCGTTAGTAGCTTTGTGTGTCGCCAAAAAAAAAGGCTTCGAGTGTCGTTGATCAATTTGGAATTGTGTATGTGGTATAAAGGTTTATTGGCTTCTATATGAAATACAAAAAAGAACTCGCAGTAAATACATATGTAGTCTGGAATATTATTTGAAAAAAACAATAAATATTCCAATTTGGTCGTTTAAGTGCTGGCAACCTTTCCAATATGAAAATGGACGAACAGACGTGTTCCATATTCAAAAGTGTTGCTAGTACTTACAGCGGTATGTCATGTTACTTTCAAATGGAATGTTGGTGTAAATTTTTACCCCTTTTTTGATCCAAGAATGTTGCCCTGTTTCCCTTAGACGTAGGGAATGTTTTTATTTTCGTTTTCTCATTCATATTCTATATATATCATAGCTAGTGTTTCTGGCACTGTTGGAACTCCTTTGTATATGAAGTGTTGCAAGTTTTTAGATTACATTATCCAATATCATTGTGATTATGTATAGTGTGTTGCTAGCTCTCGACTAAAGGTAAGTTTTTAGGGTAAATCCACTGTAAATGTTGTATGACTGTGTAAATGTAAGCTTCAAATTTTTGGTTAATAATTTCAATAATTTGAACGTTTGAATTATCAGATCGAATTCTGTGCAATTCAATGCTATGATTTGTGTAAATTTGTTTAAAATTAAATAGGTTGAAGTACTGTGAAAAAAAAATAAAAAAAACTAAGACCCAAATAGGTATTATATATATTATCATCTTGTATATGACCTTATGTTTCTAAGTTATGTTGAGTGTAAATATTGCTCTTAATTATTGACCAGTTTTTGTCTGTATGTCTGCTAGCCAATCAAGTTACACATAAAACAGCTTTAAAAATACTAAATATTCAATCCCTTAATCTTAAAAAGAGCAATAATATTCAATTCTCTTATCATTTTTTTACAGTTAAACTTATATGTTTTGTTTCATAACTAACCAAATCAATTATCGAAACGCCTAACAAATTATGCAGTCATACAAAATAAGTACCTACCTACCTACCCGATAAAACTTTACAAAATTGTACATTACAAGTTGAGAACCTATTAGCATGTATATACAGTTCAGAATGCGGAATTTCCTTATAATATTGGGAGACATTGGTTTATAATGAACAGCACACACACAGCGATAAAGCACCTGCACTAACCAGAAGTAATAATATGTTTACTATTGGTGAAATATTACCACCATAAGTGTTTCAAAAGTATTTTCAAATTTGTCTCTTATGGTATTGGGTACACAGAACAATTTTCTTCAAACATTCGATGTTAATATGATTAGCTTTCACGAAAAAAAAAAACACGTAGTCTCATTTCCCTATACCCAAATATAAATTAATATTCGCAATTTTATAAGTATTCAATTGTGCATCATTAATTTTGCGAAAATATCAATCATTGTAACTTGTATGTAAAATCGTTTTTAAAATATAACACTTGTTTTACGTAACGAACAAGGTCGAAATTCGCATACACACACACCCGGTTCCGTAGTGACGTTATAGTATCTTGTATATAAAATCGTTTTTACAATATAACACTTGTTTTACGTAGCGAATAAGATCGAAATTCGCATACACACTCGGTTCCGTAGTGACGTTATTGTATCTGGTATGTAAAATCGTTTTTACAATATAACACTTTCATTACGTAGCGAACAAGGTCGAATGTAATATTTATTTATTTTATTTTATTTATTACACTTCATGTAAAATTTACATTGGCGGACTTAATGCCTAAGGCATTCTCTACCAGTCAACCAAAGGTAGTGCAGAGTAGATAGTAGTAGGTGCAATGAAATTTATATTAAGTTACAAAAAGTATATACATACATACATACATAAATACACACACACATAAATACACACACACATAAATACACACACACATACACACACACACACACACACACACACACACACACACACATACAATCAACATCTTGTATGTAAAATCGTTTTTACAATAAAACACTTGTATTACGTAGGGAACAAGGTCGAAATTCGCATACGCACACCCAGCTCCGTAGTGACGTTAGTTAGCCCCCCCCCCCCCCGGTTATACTGTTCGAACACCAACATTTCATTTGTTCAGCAACTGCTACTGTGCGCGACCCAGTCGCTCTTCACTTGCGACACGGGAGCCTCGTCAGTCGCCGGCGACGGCAAGAACGACTTGCCCCCCGACGCTGCCTCCTCGCCTGGCTCTGTACAGGTAAACCACACGACCACGACGCACCGTTGATTGCNTAGCCCCCCCCCCCCCCGGTTATACTGTTCGAACACCAACATTTCATTTGTTCAGCAACTGCTACTGTGCGCGACCCAGTCGCTCTTCACTTGCGACACGGGAGCCTCGTCAGTCGCCGGCGACGGCAAGAACGACTTGCCCCCCGACGCTGCCTCCTCGCCTGGCTCTGTACAGGTAAACCACACGACCACGACGCACTGTTGATTGCGTCGACTCAAGCAAACAGAGGAATTACTGATCAAATAACAGGAGCATATAATGACGAAAATAGGTTAAAAATATTCGCTAGAATAAGATAAGTATATAAAAATTAGGAAAAGTTAAAACAGATATATAAATATTAGTATAACTGTTATACTAAGTTTATATGGTATTGGTAAAACTTTATACATAAAAAATAAAAAAATTCTGGTTCCGTTATTAATCCTCAAATAAATAAACAAGGGCTCTGATTATGTCAGCGGAGTACTCACGGGTTGGGCCAAAAGCGCCCCGAAAAAAAAAAAATTATAACAAGGGCATTGTTGCTATACCGATGTTTAATATATAAGTGTACACAGGAAATACGTAATCAATCGAAATGATATCGAGAAATGACTACAGATTTAGTGTAACAAACTAAAAGTTACAATATCATAGTTTTAAGTGAATATCAAGAAACGTCAGATACATTTATGGACTGCATTTTTCCTATTTCTGACATACGAGTATACACTTAAAGAAATTCATTTGATATAATTTAAATATCATTACACCGAAATTTACCTTTCAAATCCGTAGTAATGATTTTCCCCAAAAAAAGAACAAAGCACTTAGCTTACCCCGACTGCAAAACCATAATATATGCTAAATCACGCATGTCCCAATTCGATAAATGATTTAATAAATAATTTTGAATTAACATATGAGAAAGGCAATGTGTGTTATCCGATACCGAAAACAAGGTTGGTATTAAATAATATTCAAATTAGTAATCAAACTTATAAAATTTTCAAACTTCATAATTGTCTTAGGAACGTGATTTTTATAATATTAATGCTGAAACTGTATTTAAAGTTTTGAAACTTGAAATTTTGATAAATAATAATAATAAATGTAAAATGGCTAATAGAAGTCGTCAGCGCAAAAGTGGCTTAACCCACGATTTTTCATATTTCTGCTAATACTCGTACATCAATATATAAATTTTGATGCAAACCCGTCGTATCTCTAGTTCCACCCATAGATAACAGATGGCTTTGTAAACATTATTTTTGCGCGTTTTATTTTTGCTTACGAAACAGTGTAAAAGTAAATTTAAACCTCATTATCACCATACTAACTATGGTAAGCTTAGGCCACTTTTCCGCTGACGGCCTTAATTATAAAATGTACCTCACTATTTATAACATTAAATAATTAACGCGTACAAATGTGATACACTAAAGAAATTTTCAGGCTCCCCTACTATCGGTGGATTGCAAGAGTAATCCGCCGACGTACAGTTTCGTACAAGGCTGGCAACTTCTCGCTTTAGCCGTTAGCCTCTTCGTGCCGAGAAACAACCGATTGCTATGGTACTTGAAATTGCACCTCAGCAGGCATTCCGATACTAAGTGAGTGTAAATATTGTTTCTCAATCGCTTTCCTACCGTCAAATCGAACGCATATATAGTCCTCCCGTCAAATTCAACGCATATATACTAATGAGGCATTAGTCTTTGAGGAGTTAGTTAAGAATGTAAGCTATTCCAACTATAACCGCGCAGATATTTTGGGTCGAAATCATAACTTTCACTTTTAGTGGGTACATAAACAAAAATTCGTCTTCTCATATTAAAACTGTAGGTATAATCTCTAAAAGTTACTAATTTTACAGGAGAGTGTTTTAAAAGTTTAACATGACGTAATATTTTTAATATTAATCATCTTTGCAACATTTATTTTTTATTTTTTACCAGTTACATTATTTGTCTTTTAAAGTAAGATAAAATTATGTATTAATTTTGTTAATAGTAGTCAAAACATAGGAAAACTAAAAAAAAAACTAAAACTAAATTACGCTCTTTTGACAGTATTTACGGGGACAATACTGGTGATACCAAATGATTCCGCATATTAACTCAATTTCGAATATTTTAGGAAATTGTACACTTTTAATGCGAAAGGACGAATTGTCCGTCACCCCACGCACGCGCGATGTTATTTATTGACCTTTTAAGGGCATTACAATCAAAGCCCTATATATTATTATATTGAATAGTCGGCAATCGATAAGAAATGCCCAATGCATTAATTGAATATGCAATTTCGAAAAGGGCACATCTCTGAAAATGTCAAATGTTCAGGAAAAGAAAAAAACTGATTATTTTCTAAAGCAGTGTAACATTTAAAATATTAATTTTTGAGATATGTTAATTAGCAATTGAAAATTACTGGAATTATTATAAAATGGGTGTAAGTAAGCCTCAAAACTACATGTAAGTATGTATATGAAAAAACGTATATGACAAAATATGCGACATGTGCCCTTTTCGAAATTGCATACTCAATTGTAATTGAATGAATGACGTCGATTTACAGAACGGAGTGCGGAAAGTATGCGGCGTACTGCTCGCGCGCATTGGAACGCACCATACGCAACGGCGGACGCGAAGACAAACCGTCGCGAATGGAAGTGCTGTCCATTCTACTGAAGAACCCTTACCATCACTGTCTCCCGCACGCGATACCCGTGCACATGCTCAATAACACTTATCAGGTAAGGACTTTCAATGAACCTGAGTGACGTCACCCACCCTTCATGACTTGAAACCGAAAGCGTTACTTTAATATCGATAGGTGAAAGCCTATTGGTTTAAGCTTTTTTTTATTGCTTAAATAGGTGGACGAGCTCACAGCCCACCTGGTGTTAAGTAGTTACTGGAGCGCATAGACATCTACGACGTAAATCCGCCACCCACCTTGAGATATAAGTTCTAAGGTCTCAAGTATAGTTACATTGAAGACAAGTCTTAGTTAATCTTGACACGATGATATCAGGAAAGAATCAATTTATATTAGTAAGATATTGTATATAAATAACCACTTATGTATATACAAGGTCAACTTACTCGTGCGTCGCGAAGGTACAACCGCAATGTACACAAAACTCTTACAAGATCCTTATAAAATACCTAAGTTTAACCATTAAGAACTTTGTGTAGTAATATACGTGTTAGTTCCGACGCGAGTCCGCTCTGCGATGTCCATCCCTAGCCTGGTGGACAACGGTCAATGAAGGTGTGATTGACTTGAGCAGGTGATCAGCTTCGATGGTTCCACCACCGTCGAGGAGTTCCTGCACACGCTGAGCACCGAGCTCGGCTGCCGGGAGTCGGCCGCGTCCGGCTTCGCGCTCTTCAGCGACGACCCCATAGAGAAGGACTTGGAGCACCACATTAAACCGGACAAAAAGGTAATTTTTTTTTCTACCATAGTAACCTCGAGGGGCTATTCTAGGTTCACCGAACTAGTGCGTCAGCTCACGGGGCTCAAACCGGGAGTGTTGCTAACACTGGCCCTAGCAAGAGCTAAAGGTAACAGTTGACCATCAATGTATCTATATATATATGTATCAATGAATTGCTGGAAACATGGATCAGTAATGCGTTTCGGCTTGAAGGGCGGGGCAGCCGCAAACCGAAAGGCATTACTGCTTCATAGCAGAAATAGGCAGGGTGGTGGTACCTACCCGTGCGAGCTCACAAGACTCCTTACCATCAGTAATTACGCAAATTATAATTTTTGCGGATGTGATTTTTATTACACAATCATATTCCTTCACTGTGGAAGGCATTTGTGAACATTTGTTTAGTGCGTATTTCATTAGAAAAATTGGTACCCGCCCATGGGATTTGAACACCGGCACAGTTGCATCGCTCGATCCTAATACACCGGGCGTCTTATCCCGCTGACCATGACTTTAAAGTTGATCTTTATACATATTCAGGCATTTCAACTACGTACAGCACTAACACATTCATAAGCTACACCTTTGCCTCACCTCCCCAGCTATGCGACGTGATATCAAAGTGGGAAACCGCGCTCAGAGAGAAAGGCTCCGGAAAGTTCGAGAACACTCGCGTCATACGATTGACGTACAGAAACAGGCTGTACTTCAAGAACTCGGTCAGGACCGAAACGGACAAGGAGAGGCTGCTGCTCTGCTACCAGGTCAATCAGCAAGGTATGTGTCATTTCGCGCTTATGAACTAAGGTCTCCGTGAATTCTGTCCGAAACATCAACGGAACCATCTCGAATCGATGCTCTATTTGTTTGTTTCTATTTAGCTCATGTTAACGTATCCGAATTAATATTGTAAAAATTACATACATTTATACACTTATGTATAAAATGCATTGATATTTTTATTTTTAGACTGGTAAGGAATTCTTTAAGCATTAAGTCTGCCAATGTATTTGAATACAATAAGTTTAATAAAAAATATAAAAAATAAGCCAAACATCGGAACAAATAGTCTAATTTGATATCGAAATATATGAGATATTAGGTACCTAGAACAAACGAAATCGGTGTTGCCATCTGTCGGCGACGATACCCAAATGAGGGGGGCACGCGGAAGCGGAGTGCGGGGTGACCCGGAACAAAATGTGAAGACGGACAGACGCGTGCGCAACACCAACAACATAAGCAATAAGCCGCAGACTTAATGTGAATCGAATAATATAAAATTATATATATAAAAATGAATTGCTGTTCGTTAGTCTCGCTAAAACTGGACCGATTTGGCTAATTTTGGTCTTGAATTTTTTGTGGAAGTCCAGAGAAGGTTTAAAAGGTAGATAAATATGAAAATACTCGGAATTAAATAAAACAACAATTTTGTTTTTCATTAAATGTGTCCCCCAAAAGTTTAGGTCTTTTATTTAACGATTGTAGCACTACGAAGTCTGCCGGTTCAGCTAGTAAAATTATAAAAATATAATTTTATCATTTTGTTAAATTCCTGGATTCTAATCCAATTTGAAACATTATAAAATTGTGAATATCTCTATTTTCCAGTGGTAGGAGGCCGCTTCCCAGTCACCCGCGAGCTGTCGGCGGAGCTGGGCGCGCTGATGGCGCAGCTGGACCTGGGCGACTACCTGGCGGGCCACGCGCTGCACAACCAGCCGCTCGCGCACCGCTACTACCCCTACCGGTACCGCGCCGCGCTCTCCGCCGACCAGCTCAGGTACGCGCGCCGCCTCGACATACACCCCTGACAGACACCCTTGACCGACACCCTTGACATTATTGACACGTTTGACACCCTGGACACCCTTAACACCCCTGACACCCTTGACACCCCTGACACCCTAAACACCCTTGACATCCTTGCCACCCTTGATACCATTGACCACCCTGACAATCTTGACACCCTTAAAACCGTGCAAATTATCGCATTTTGTAAATTTTAGAATGAAAGTCTCAGGTTGTTAGAAATTACCGATTTTTACTTGGCTCGAATGGTTATAAGTACGCTGGGCCCACCGGTAGGCCGCATGGCGTTCAACGTGTTAAATAAAGTTTTCTTCCTTGTTGCTACAGAGATTTAGAAGAGAAACTCCGTTCGAAATGGATAGCGCTGAAAGGAAGGAGCACATCGGACTGCGTCCGGATCTACCTCAACTGCACGAGGAAGTGGCCGTTCTTCGGAGCCACGCTGTTCCAAGCTAGAGTGAGTGCCTTCCAGCAATGTACACTCAATATTCATAAAAAAGGATTGTGTGTGATTTTATGAAATCACGGTAAAAGTGAAACTTTTTTTCACATTATAGACATTTAACTCTGACAAACAACATTTACATTAAACACTGACAAAAACAAAAACAAAATAGCGTGGAGCACTGGCACAAATGAGTAATAGTCTATACACTACACGGTCAGCTGCTGCGAACTATAGGCGCCGCCATATTGGTCTTGGCTGCTCTGACGAGCGCCTTTCACTTTATTCCTACATCGCGGCCGACCGTCACACGACATGCAACACACAGACGAAAAAGTTTGAGACGATGTAATAAATAAGACATGACTTAAAGGTCTTAGTTACCAGGTCATAAAATCCCCATCAAAAATACCTAGGTAATGACTGGACTGTTTCAGATAAAGCAGCCGGACTTGTCTATGGTGTGGCTGGCGGTGTCCGAGGAGGGCGTCACGGTGCTGGAGCTCGCCTCCATGGCCGTCATAGGTCGATACGCGCTCACCTCTATCGGACTCTTTGGTGGATTACAGGTAAAAAATATTCGTTTGTCACATCACTGGTGGTAAGGCGTCTTGTGAGTCCGCACGGGTAGGGTGTAGTGCTGTACGTAGTTTAAATGCCTGAATATGTGTAATGATAAACTTTAAAGTCTCCGACTTTGAATTCGGCCTGCGGGATAAGACGCCCGGTGTATTTGCATCTAGCGATACGACTGTGCCGGTGTTCGAATCCCGCTGACGGGTACCAATTTTTTTTATGAAATACGCACTTAACAAATGGTGACGAATGACTTGCACGATGAAGGAATAACCATAGTGTAATAAAAATCAATTCCACAAAAATTATAATTTGCGTAATTACTGATGGTAAGGCGTCTTGTGACCCCGCACGGGTAGGTACCACCACCCCGCCTATTTCTGCCGTGAAGCAGTAATTAGTTTCGGTTTGAAGGGTGGGACAGCCGGTGTACTGTAAAAACTGAGACTTTAGAGCTCATGTCTCGAGGTGGGTGGCGGCATTTTCGTTGTAGATGTCTATGGGCTCCGAAAACCATTTCACACCAGGTGGGCCGTGATAACGACGTTATTGTCCGATCGTCAACAGAATATGATCCAACACGAAATTCAAGACAAACAATTTTTGTTGACGTTATGATTTATTTCTCAATAATATCATTCGCGTGTAGGGTAAATAAGTGATAAGACCTTTTCTACGTAACTTCAACGTTGTTGCTTTCAAAACTAGTTCATCTGTCGCAAAGACTTGCCACGAACGCCTCCTCTTAGCGGCCGGGATATAAAGCAAATATGTTATACCCTGCGATCCTATAAGTTTTTTTTCATAGCTGTTAAAAAATATTTCATTCTCGTAATTGCCGAAAATTGGTAATTTTTTTTACTGTTTCGCGACACTTAAACAATTTAATGAGTTAAACAAGATAAAAGCAAAACCTGACGAGACAAACATCACACAGCTCGACCCTGGTACAGCGACTAGAGTCTGCAGGGGTGGGTGCCATCAGCCGGCTCGTTTCTGCCGAGAACCAGTAATGCCTTCCAGTTTGAAGGGTGGGAGAACCGTTGTACTATACGATTGAAACCTCATGTGTCAAGGCTGGTTGCACTCATGCACTGATGTCTATGGACAATTGTGGCCACTTAGACCGTGAGCTCATTTTTTTTATGGCCCTTTTAGGTAGACGAGCATACGATCCACCTGATGGTGAGTGGTTACCATCGCCCATGGACTTCAGCAATGCCAGGGGCAGAGCCAAGCCGCTGTGTAATAGGCCTTAGAATTGTTCAAAGTTACAACATGACCTGCCGCTATATTGGTTGTATATTCTCCAGGACGATCTCATGATGTTGATTGACGGCGAAGACGCGACGAGTCCGGTGCACAAGATGCTGATCAGCCTCAATAAACTTAAAGTGAGTGATTACGTAGAATCGACAAACACGTTTAAAACTATATATCTCCATGGTGGTGGAATAGCAGCTAATTAATATAATAATTTTGCCGCGAAGCAGTCGTTCATTACAAAGATAATAACAGACAGACTGATCGTAGGAAGTAATTGTAATAAGCTCCGGAGGTCGAAGTCGCATTCCGCTGTCTTCTGATCAATAATATCATATATTATTGTACGAGTTGACCCGGCAGACTTCGTAGTGCCTCAATCGATAAATAAAAGACCTAAACTTTTGCATAAAATAAAATTAAAACAAACAAAAGGAATCCGTCCGACGCCGACGGGAGACACATCAAATGGAAAACAAAATTGTTATTTTTTATTTAATTCCGAGCATTTTCATATTTATGTACCTTTTAAATCGTCTCTGGATTTCCACAAATAATTCAAGACCAAAATTAGCCAAATCGGTCCAGCTGTTCTCGAGTTTTAGTGAGACTAACGAACAGCAATTTATTTTTATATAAATAGATTATAAAGATCCGGTAAAATTAATTGCTTTCAAAAATTTTAATTCAAATTAAATTCGAATTGAATTATATTTAGTTGATATTGAATAAGAGTTTTTCAGCCATTTAATAGTCAATACAATTTCCAGATGGCCGAGCTGACTCACTTGATAGCGGACTACAAGAACGCGCTGCTCCGCAACCCGGCCACGTGCACGCCCCAGCTGTCCCTCTCCCGCCACGGCAGCCACCGCTCCGTGCGCAAACACCCCTCCACCCTCCCGCACTCCAACCCCTCCACGCTCCCGCACGCGCACGCGCACCACACGCTCAACTCGCACGCCACCACCATGACGCTGGGCTCCGAGCGCAACGCCACGCTCACGCTCAGCTCCCACGCCTCCACCTTCAACCCGCACGCCGACGCCCGGGTGCTGTCCCACGGACAGCCCGACATACTCAAGTCGACGCCCGACCACCACAGAAGCGAGAAGAAGAGGAGCCACACACAAGACACCGGGGTCGCGTGAGCTCACGATGCTCACGGTGCTCACGACTAACATTACACAGCCGTTCTCGTGTCTATCCAGATCTAAATATCATTTGTATGAAATTAGTTTTCATAAAAAAAATAAGTCAAATTGTCGTCTGCGGTAGAAGTCATTTGCCAGAATTTAGTACAGCAAACATAATGATATCATTCCATCAGAAATACAACTAAGACAATCGAAATTAAAAACGAAGTTAGTTTATCGATTACCTCATATTTTTTAGCTTCAAATAATCGAGATTATATCTGAATTTACTCTAATAGATAATTATTATAATAATTTTATAATAACATTTCTTTCGATTTATTATTTAATTTTATTGTAAGTTAGTTTTAAGTTAAATAAGTAAACTACTTTACACCAGGGACAATGGACTATCTGGAACAAGAATTAATTATAAACCATGTTATTTTTTTTTCAAAATTATAATAGATATTTTTATTTTCTTTTGTTTTACCGTAAGCTAGGTAATTAATTTACTTTGATAATTCTTATATTTATATCACTTAACTGTTCATTTCTTAATAAAAATAATAATATTTTTTAAACAAACAAACATAATTAATGACAAACGTAAATACTCACAATTATCTCTCTCGATATTCATAATTAACTAATTATATCATAAAATTGATTTATTGTAAGTGACAAACATTAAATTAGTGAGACAAAATTAATTAAAATGAGTTATCTCAATTAATTCGTAAGATCTGCAATGAGATCTTTGTATAAAATCGATCGACTGATTCATAAATATAAGATCATCAACGAATATGACAAATTTCTAAATAAGTGTTTAGGATATAAGTTTGATCTGAATCTTTTTACAATGCACGACCTAATAATGAAAACTCATAGATATATTCGTCTTCTTCGCTCCTTTGTAGTAAATTTGTAAGAGCGACAGAGACGAATATATCGACACTATCGACTGTTTAGGTAATGCCAAGAAATGTTCTAAAATAACCTTAGATAACGTTTTAGAGGTGATATCGTGTTTCTAATACGTGTTGCGTTTTATACGCTTTAGAATTTAGATGCGCCGAACCGGAGCGGTAATGTACGCGTCACTGTAGCGAGCGCATTCGAGAAAAGTGATGAAAGTTTTCAATAGAATTTAAAATTTGTATGAAATCTCATGTGTACTTTTTGTGAATCGAAATAAGATTGAAATTTCATTACGTTTGGATATTCCAATGTCAGACCGTAGACGTTTTGAATCGAACCACAATAAATGTAAATAGAAAATATTTTTTGTATATTTTTGCCTAAATTATTTCGGGGTTATCCGTGGTGAATTAACAACTATCCTAATAGAAATAGTATGGATTCTTAATTCTGCGCAATTTATATTTATTTTTTGTAGATAGTCTTATGAGGAATATGAAATTATTTCTAGTCTTAGTATCATCACGGAACCTCCTGCAAACAAGAGTATTTTTTTGGTCATCCAATTTAGCTATCATAATAATAATAATGGATGATTAAATTTTCTACCATTTTCTAAATATAACAAAGATAATGTTACCAACTTCACAATTTTTTTTTCTATGTTTACATACAATGAAGAAGGGTTTTTTTTATTACTACATAATATATTTATTACGCACAATATCTTTTCATATTTGTTACACAGAATTACAATTCGAGAGTAATAAGAACGAATGATATTGTAAAAGTTTGTGTCAAATCCAAAGACGCTGTCAATATATTTATTTTAATTCTACATACAGAAATAAAGTGTTGTAAGTATTACATCAAACAGAATAGTATATTGAAGTATATTTTAGAAGTAAATTTCCTTTGTTGTGTGTAAATGAATAGCCAAATAAAAAATATATGGGAAAAGCTAAATGCTAAATGAAACGGCAACTAAATAGTTGTAGGAATAAGTTATGTCATAATAATTTATTTAGAGGCAGGAATATCGAAAACGTAGACAGTTACAAATTTGAATGCAAAAGAAACGCGCAGAAATTGAATGTGCTAATAATGGACCCTCTAGTGTGGACTACACTTTTCAGCCACAAGAGCTTTTCCTTCTTCACACGAAAAGAGTCCTTAGCGCGGCCTAAGCTACGGTAACCACGTCTTCTAACAACGAAATAGGCTGTTGATAAAAAATAATAGACTTAAAAACAATAACAAATTTTCTATTTGACCATAGATTAAAAATAATTTAAAAAAAACTTCAAATGTAACTGTCTAGTTTTGTAATTTGACCAATCCGCTTTCAAAGGCCAATTGGTGCTGAGCGTGACCCACAATTTTAGTTTTTAAACCAATTGAAGGGACTTTTCGTTCAACTAAGGTTTCCATCACAGATAATAAATAATATACATACTGATTTTTGATCATATAAATACGAAATTTAAAAATATGACAGTTATGGTATAAAAACTAAAGTTGGGTGTTGCCATGTAGTGGAGCGTAGTCCGCTATGTAGTAAATAAAATTATATTTGGATCGCACTTTTTGCACAACACGTAACTGTTTATATAATATTACATGTTATATGTAGGATTGTGTATATTTTACAGTAAATAAAAAAAAACTAAGATTACTTTATTCATTCAACTTTTATCGTCTTTTGATAATAAGAGCATCATACTATGTATTTATGTGATTAGTTCCACTTTTAATTTTTCATTAAAATTCTTTTTGGTTTTTAAGTTTATCAACCTCGTGTTTTAGACCTAAAGTGAACATTTTGTATAAGGCAATTTACGACCATTCTTTTGTTTGACGATGCGGGAATAAACGTATTAAAGAATTTTTGTGTATCATTGTAATTAGAAGGTTCTTATGACTTCTGATGATGAGTTCCCAAAAAACAGAAACTTTTTTACTGGTGGTTGGGCGTCTTGTTAGACCGCAAGGGTAGGTACCATCACCCTGCCTATTTCTACCGTGAAGCAGTAATGCGTAATAGATGTCTATGGGCTCCGGTAACCACTTAACACCAGGTGGGCCGTGAGCTCGTCCACCCACCTACGCAATAGATAAATAAAAACAGCAAAATAACTGGAAAAAGTTTTATTCATATAAACAACAAAGTCATCCATAAATTACGTCACACGTTAAAGGAGGAGAGAATATCACCGGAAAGTCACATTTTGTGAAAACGGGGCAAAAGTTTTGTGACGTCACGTGTTAAAATTTAAAACACTGAAATACTAACTAAATTAGTCGTTTGGTTTCTCTGTTACCTGAAATATTTGACTTTATGAAGAGTTTATTAAATATTTAATTACCAAAAATGAGAAACAAAATATATTTTGTTATTATTTTTAAATACATGCATGAGATTAAAAATGGTGTGACGTCACATCCTAGGGGTGGGGATTTAAAAATGTGACAAAGACGAGGGGAGGGTTAAAAAGTCCTAAGTTCCTGTGACGTAAGTTATAAATGGCCTTTAGGGGCTAAAAAAAATTGTCTAAACAATTGAATAGATTTTTTTTTAATACAACAATTTCACTCATTTTAACAACAATTAAAACTTGCTTATCCTAGTCAGAGGCGGTGAAGACAAACTCTTCTAACTTGACATCCAAGGCCTTTAATATTGCTTCTGTGTCATAAGGGACAGCTGAAAAAAATAAGTCCATTTTTTTTTACATTAGATTATTTGGATATAGAATTTCATTGTTAAAACATTTTAAATCGTTCGCTCGAACGTGACCATCGAAAGTCAAAATGAAATACAACCGAATTCAAGAACATCCTTGGTACTGAGATAAATGATAAATAACAACGTAAAATTTTAACAAAAGACAATCGACTTCGCAATAATAAAATGAGAATATTATTATCATCAACATAGTCGATTATATGCCCGTTCATAAGGCTAGTGAGTGGAAGAGAGAACGAAATACTCGCTTCACCGCTCCGATTTTTTATGACCCAAACTGCACGGACAACATAATTCTATTAAAGTCAGTTATATATCGAGGGCTGAAAAGCTATTTGGTTTAAGCGACATTGTTCTAACTTTACATTGAAAGTTTAAAGAGGTAGAAAGAAGTATTAAAGAGATAGAATGAGATAAAAAATATCATGACAAAAAACTTCTTCAGCTATTTGAATGGGGTAAACATAACTAAAGTTTAAAACATGGAATTGTTGATGCTAATAACAAATATAACGGACCTTTAATTAGAAAGATAAATAACGCGTATGAAGCTTAAACCCCCTCGATTTTTCACACCTCGATATGTATTATCAAGGGTAACTAAAAAACTACTGGTCACATGATAAAATTGGAATGGAGTCACGTGAAAAGCAGCAGCCGTCAAATAGCAAATCACCGAAATCAGTTCACCCCGAAACAAAGTTCTGAACTAACCACACATAAAATAGACTCGAATTGAGAACGACTTCTTTTTTTGAAGTCGGTCAAAAAGTTATTAATTTAACTTACGAATTGTAATCCATTGGGTTGAATCGTAACCAGAATCGATTCTAGATGCCATGATGCATTCTCGGAGCGCCAGGGTTATACCGTGAGCAGTACATATACCCATTTCTCCACATGCTGAAATTTAAGAACACTATTTCTTACCATGCGCTTGACAATTTCAAGATAAGCTGCCACATCTACATATGGTGTGTTCGGAACGCTTGGACCGTCGATTTGTATTAACTATGCGCCGATTTACTTTACAAAAATAGCCGATCCAATCTTCCGCTTCCCCCAAAAATACGACAGCTACTTTTTTTTTTTTAAGTCGGCTTTCAGTCACTAGTTAGGCTAGATAGCCTAGCTAGTGACTTTAGATAAAGGATAAGGATAGATCCTTTAGATAAAGGATAAGGCGCTCGGTGTACTCGTAAGAGGCAATGCTACTGTGCAAGTATTCGAATCCTACAGGCATGTATAATTTTTCATATGAAATATGTACATACTTAACACAATTTTTTTTTCTTAGCTGAGTGACCGATCTCACAGCCCACCTGGGGTTAAGTGGATACTGGGACCCATAGACATCTACAACGTAAATGCGCCACCCACCTTGAGATATAAGTTCTAAGGTCTCAGTATAGTTACAACGTCTGCCCCACCCTTCAAGCTTCGGCTTGAAGGGTGGGGCCTATTTCTGCCGTGAAGCATTACTGCTTCACGGCAGAAATAGGCGAGGTGGTGGTACCTACCCGTGCGGACTCACAAGAGGTCTTATCACCAGTAATATGTTCACGAAAGACTTCAACGGTGAACGAATAACAACGTACAATAAATATTAGACTCGCACAAGTAATACTTAGCGTAATTATTATACACCTAAAAATAGAACTAAGATTACCCATTGTTTAAATGGGTATTCTAAATTTAATTACAAGAATATATATATTAGAAAATGCACAAATTAAAGTCATTGTTAATGAATTAAATACAAATATACGCTAATCAAACTTGTTTCATTGAACATCGCATTTTAAATAGTTTAAATGTAGATTTATGTTTAAATTTAAAAACCCAATCCCTGATATCACACACACTCACTCATTCACGTACACATTAAATAAATAATTGCTATTATTATAATCGTTTCGTATAATCGTATAAAAGTTTAAAGAATTAAATTTTGGCAGCGGCTTGGCTGTGCGACTGGCATTACTGGTGTTAACGAGGGACATTGACTGCTCACCATCCTTTGGATCGTATGTTCATCTGATTACAACGCCATCTATCTATACTAATATTATAAAGAGGAAAGATTTGTTTGTTTGTTTGTATTGAATAGGCTCCGAAACTACTAAACCGATTTGAAAAATTCTTTCACTGTTTGGAAGTTACACTATTCACAAGTGACATAGGCTATAATATTTTTTGAAAAAAATTAGGGATCCTTACTAAAACTCTAATAATGTAACCCGAGGTGTAAAAAATTACTTAAACTATTCTTTATCGGGTGCCCTGCGAAAACTATTCATGATAGAATAAAATAATGTACTACGACTTTGTAGAACACATTATTTACAAAAAGTGTCGGGATAGCATATGTCTAACTATTATAGTTATGCCGCAATAAGAGTTCTTTTATTTAAAAAAATAAAACAACGTCAAATACTGGTTGTTTACTCGTGGTAGTGAGTCCGCGCGGGAAGGTACCACCACCCTGCTTATTTCTGCCGTGAAGCAGTAATGCGTTTCGGTTTGAAGGGCGGGGCATCCGTTGTAACTGTACTGAGACCTTAGAACTTATATCTCAAGGTGGGTGGCGCATTTAAGTTGTAGATTTCTATGGGCTCCAGTAACCACTTAACATCAGGTGGGCAAATATATATATGTATATATATCGTTGAAATTTTTGTTAAAGATCCGAGCAGAGCCGGAGCGGGCTAAATATAATTAAATAAAAATATAATCCAAACACACTTTTAGCTCCCAATACACCCTTTGTATTTTTCTGGTTGTGTCTCAGTTTCACATTATAAACGATCGGTATGTCCTGGCAGAGAGGAACGTGGTACGTCAGCGATCTATTCGTCAGTAGTTTGCCTGTTGCCTTGTCATACACTAGCTTTTCGCACGTGAAGTATCCCACACCTTGAATGAAGGCTCCTTCGACCTAATAAAAATGTGTTTTTTAATAGAAGTAAATATTTAAATTTCATTTCAATGTAATAATAATTCGATGGATTTGTTGTGTAACTAGATCTCAAAATAAAACAAAGAAAGAAAAACTTTTATAGACAAACTAGCTGTACTCGTCCGCTTCGCTGGGCATTTAATATTAACATTATTATTTCTCACCCCCACAAAGATTCTCGTCATTTACGCCCCCGCAACTAGTGAAGGGAGTCCAACACTTGTATAAAAACTAACCTATCCATTAAGTACATGTATTTTCTACGTGGATACCAAGTTTCAAGTCAATCGGATGCATGGTTCAGTAGTTATAACGGAACATCCGTAAAAACTACTGTAGATTTACTTATATATTTTCCTCCTCCGTTTTCGAAGATATAGTGACGTCGGAATCGAATAGATCCCACTGATTAAAGCTTACCTGACCGATGTCAACAGCAGGATTCACACTCATTCCAACATCCTCCAATAAATCTACTCTCAACATTTGAAACCTCCCCGTCAACACGTCCAACTGTATTTCGACAATCGATACAGCAAACGCACTGTATCCACTAAGAGATTCATCCTTATCGCTCATCATATAGCAGGACGTCAATTCTATTCCTTCTTCAGCAGCTGATTTCACGATATCCAACCAAGTGGCTTGTGGCTTGCGCGACTTAACTGGAGCAAATCTTTTATCAAACGTTTCGCATATCTTTAAAATGCAGTAGCAAATGCTTTCTGTTGTGATACTCGATCCAGAGAAAACATCATTCGCAGCAACGAATGAGTAGTGCGAGATAACTTTGATAACGTCCAAAGGAATACCTAAGGCGTTGGCGCAAACTTGGGCGGCCTTCGTATTTGCCCCTTGACCCATTTCTATTCCTCCTGTCGTTATCGTAACTGTTCCGTCCATGCGATAAATAGAGATCATTACAGTAAAATTTCCGTAATAGATTACAGGGAATTCCATCACGTTGATCTTTATAGCACGCTTGACCCAGCGATTGTCTTTATTGAATTGCTGGATGTCGGCACAACGTTTATCATAATCAACATCTTGTTTCAAAGTTTCTATCATTTCTGGAATGTCAGTGTTATTTGCTTTCATGTTAGCTAGACGAACTGAGATTGCATCTTTTTTAACCGCAAACGCTATGTGCTCCATTATGTGTTCTATGCAGGCGATTCCTTCGCAAGCACCTGTGCAGACAAGAATTTATAAAGGAAACGAAATATTAACGGTTTGATTTAGAAGTATTATGCTCGACAAAAGAAGTATCCTACCATAAGCATCATCATGGAGTTGCGTTCGAGGTGGTTTCAGTTAATGAAATTTGAAGCACATGTGCTCTACATGAGGCCCTGTCTCATTTACTTTGTGATGTATACATACACGTGCTCTAAAAAAATCGGTCCGTGGCTGCTAGATTCGAACACGGGGATAATCGCATTGATCGATATGAGTGCACCAGGCGTCTTATCCTTTAGGCCACGACCACTGACTAGGATCTTACATAATGATGTAATTATAAACATGGGTAATGACCCATGTTTATAGTTTTTTCGCATTGTTCAATTAGGTACATTTTCCTCAAAAAAATTAGGTGTCTATCTCTGGGTTTTGAACTCATAGCTAACATAGGTGCGTGTCAATCGATATTAGCTTAGACTGCGACGATTTATAAAACCCAACAGTTCGATACGTCTGCACAATAAAACCACAAAAATTACTTACCGGGTGCCCTAAAGAAAGTATTTGATGGCAAATCAGTAAGTACTGTAGCGGTATTCAGGGTATAACCCGATATATCGTAACAGTTGCCAAAACTAGAGCTTGTGTAAGATGTGACATTGTCGTTGTTACAGCATCCTGCATCCTCAACTATAGTAGCGTTGAGATATTGAATCTTGCCGTCGTCATTCACTCCGACCTAGATCATGAGTTATAGTGGTTAATATTTTATTGACCTATCTCAAAATTCAATCAGCAAGTAATTCCTATGCTAAGCTGTGATTCAGATTGTATTTCGCGAATAACTATAAAAATTTGCAAAGTTAGGAATTTTAAACGAAATATCTTATTACTTTTATTATTTTTTAGTCATTAATATCAATATATAATAAAGAATAGTGCATTAAATATTATATAAAGATGAAAGATTAGATTTGCATAGTAGTACGTATCGTGATCCTGCACGGGTAGCTACCATCCTGTTTTTCCTGAATTTAGGGAATCATTTAATTGCAACGGAATATTGTTCTGTAGAACAAAAATAATTTGAAACCAGTTTACGAGATGACATTACATTATTGAATTTAGTATTTCGTGCTTCAATAGGTATCATTCTAGCTTAATGAATCATGCAAAACAATACTATAATTAGTGTACTAATCTAACCTCATATTCGCATTGGCAAGGCAATCTCTTTCCTGCAATACTCATATTGGTTTGTAGAGGCAATATGAATCGACAAGTCCGGTTTTGTTTGGACGCTACCAACGCACACGCGGCTGCCACTTGACCGTTTCTAGTAATTTTACCGCCGAACGCACCCCCTACTCTTGGAACTTTTACTACAATTCTGAGAAACGAAAAGCTGTTATGAGAAAACAAATGTGGAATTTCATATCAAAAGTATGTTTTGATGAATTGTTTTAAGGGCATTCAAATGCAAGTGGAACTTCCTCAAAAGAAAGTTCTAAACTAAAGAAAAAAAATGTGTGGTGTCGTGGGACACCGGATAGGAACGAAGTTCCTTATTATAAAAATATTAATTTTAAGTTCTATTCGGGGTATAAAGAAAATAAAACTGGAGGTTTCGCAACAACCCACGGTTATTCGGTAGAGTGCGAACTTATTGTGGTACACTTCATTCACGGTTGTTTGCATAAGAGTTAGTGTATTGCGCAAACGAATGCTCTGAGATTGTGGTCAATGAATCATAAAAAAATATGTCATTTTTGGTACGTTATTACAAAGTTAAGTCATACACTGTGTACATTACTAATAAAAATCTTACGTTACGGACGTTTTTTCCCGGTGAGGGTACCCCTCCGCATCGTCCCATAAAGAACTTCGTTCCAAAATCTTAACTTACTTGCTTTGACCAATATTCAAACATCGGGCTATGGCCGTTTGAGTCATTTCCATCCACTGCGTCGAATCATATACCATAAACATATCGTCAACAGGTTGAACCACACACGTTAGCGGCTCCATATAGTAATGATATTGCGCTTCGATTTCATACACTCCCTTTATGATTTTCGTTACATCCGTGCCTTTGCTTGTTGGCTCCAAAGTTCCTTCTCCTGCTATATATCTTGAACTGTCTTTCTTAGCTTCATCTATGGTAATAACGGGGGCTGATTTTTTTGTATTTTTGTAATCGACGCGTACTTTTTTCGCAACCGCAGCCGCCAATTCCTCGGTTTCAGCCACAACTATAGCTATGGGCTGTCCAAAGTATTTGATAATGGTCGCTAGCGTCTCTTCTTTATCGGTTTGAAGCTGTAATCCGGGCGTTATGAACGTATTCTCACCTGGAATATCTTTAGCTGTGTAAATTGCTAGCACTCCTTCTATTTCCTGAAATTGATAACTGAATTTCAATAAACGCTATCAAGCAATTTATACTATATGCCTGTTAAGGCCATTTATATGATTCGAATATTTTCGAATAATATAATTTTTAAAAACAATCCCTTATTATCCAATTACTTAAAGTATAAAAAATATTCAAATAATCTGTGCCAGTCTACTTAATCTTTTAATACATACAGAATTTTAATTTTCTTTGAAAAGACTCACCAGGATTTCGTTTTCATAAATTTTATCAACTTCTCCACTGTGGACGGTGGAAAGCACAAAAGCTCCGAAAACATCGCTCTTCTGCGGAGGAAGGTCATTGACATATCGAGCTTCTCCAGAGCATTGTATCAATGCTTCTAATTTTGGAACAGGTTGATTCAAGGGATACAAAGAGGAATCAGTCACATAGTCTTGTGTTGCTTCGGATACTGGTCTTGTGAATATATTTGCTCCAGATCTATAAATAGACTCTGTAGAGGCGGTAGGGCAGATACTTAACATAAACTGAAACAAATGCTTAAATTAAATAATAGTAAATGTACTAATTTTAACCTTAAAAAAATAATATAATAATTAGTAAAGGGACAAATATTCTACAAAATATAAATTACAGTTGCGCAAATCATCCTTAAAACGAAGGTTTCGAGTGGAAAGGCAATAGTTAATTAATTCTTAAATTACTTAACGGGTATTCGGAGTTATTTGAAAGCAATTTGATTGGTTTTAATCCAGTCCTCATATTTAGTCTATACTATAATATTATAATGAGGAAAGATTTGTTTGTTTGTTTGTTTCGAATAGGCTCCGAAACTACTGGACCGATTTGAAAAATTATTTTTCCATTAAAAGCCGACATTGTCCTTGTTGAACATAGGCTACTTTTTTAAAAAAAAAATTATTTTATTTTTTTGGTTTCATGTGTGTTTTAATGTTTCCGAAGCGAAGCGAGGGCGGGTCGCTAGTACCTTATAAAACAGTCCAAGTGCCAACTTCTTCCTACAATCGGGCGACGCTTCGGCTGGGTTATCTGAAGACACCAATTCTCCGTCTAGAGTTTTGATAGCTCCTTGCAATGTTTCATTGCTAAATGGACATTTTCCTGTCAGATATTCTTCGGTGTGAAGAGCGTGAACGAATGTTGAGCTTATGTTCCCATACACAATAGATGCTTTTTGAACATTGTTTTTCGAATCCAGCTTCATTAAGAAAGCAGCATTGACTATAGCCATTGCGTTTTGACTTCGGGGCATTATCTAGAAAACAAAACCTTGCACATTTAATTAAGTTTTGAAAAACAAAAATTCTAAAGTATACAAACAAAGAAAAACAAGCGTGTTAGTCCAGTCATGGTTCAGGTCAACTTTAAGACAGAGTGCTTTATTGGAAAAGGCAAAAAGACTAAAGAGTTAGCATTAGAATCACATATAGTTCATTTGTTAGATACTACTTCTGTAGCTCAACCACAAATTTATATATCAGGTAATAATTTTAAAGTACCTTGTAACTTTTAAACAGATGTGTTGTTTTGTTAAGTGGGGGAAGCATGAAATTAACAATAACAATTCCCTGCATATCATGGTGCAAGAATTCCTCCAATCTCAGAGTATATGTGTTACCCTTGCTATTTTCTGAAAATCAAAATCAATCATAAAATGTTTAATATCGAACACATTCTCAGTCAGCTTAACTAAAATTAAATAATATGTCTATATTTCAGAGCACGGGCGTCTAATAAATTAAAAAATAAATTACAGATTATTAAATGATAAATTGTTAATTAAAATTTACTACTCGTGATAAATTTTGTTCGCTAATGTTGAACGGAAATGGAGTTCTATTGAAGACAAAAAATATTAACGAGATTGATTTATATGATATGAGGAAGGTTTGTTATACGTTCTAAACTATTATTGAATGCAACATTGCTGAAAGAAAGAAATGAACGGTTAAGAAAGATTAACTAGCTGCATTTCGCAGTCGGATTTTACTTACGAACTGTCATCTCTGCTCCTAAGCATTCAAACAGTAGGAAGACATCGGATCGATACTGGGGATACGCACGTTTGTACATTAAGTTACCTGCTAAAGATGCGATCTGTAAGAGTAGGAATTCAAACGTGTAACACTTCAATAATTAGAACTCTGGCATTTTCAACTTTGTTAACATACTATAGAAGGAATCCTACAAAAACTTAAAACCTGAATCGCGCTAACGATAATTTCAAATAAGGGCATTCTTCTAGACGGTTAGTGATTGCATTTTTTAACGGTAAACCTTATCCCTGAGTTTCGTGGTTAATTAAATTTCTCAAGCTTTCTCCCTCCAGTTCAACCTCCAGTATTCTTTTTCTAGACCTAGGTCTTGAATTATAGGCACATTCATACACTCGACAAATTTCATCTCAAATGTCTGCGAGATCATGAAAATCAGAAGACCTGACTGCGTCAGAAACATAATATTTATTTTTTTGCTTAGATGGATGGACGAGCTCACAGACTCACGGCCCACCGGCTGTTAAGTGGTTACTGGAGCCCATAGACATCTACGACGTAAATGCGCCACCCACCTTGCGATGTCAGTTCTAAGGTCCCAGTATAGTTACAACGGCTACCCCGCCCTTCAAACCGAAACGCATTACTGCTTCACGGCAGAAATAGGCATGGTGGTGGTACCTGCCCGCGCGGACTCACAAGAGGTCCTACCACCAATGTCCTGAAGCAAGCAGAGACACTGACATGTATCTGATAAAGCGACAGCTGTAGTGGTACGGCCATGTGTTTCGAATGTCAGAAAGTAGAATGGCGAAGCCCATCTTCTATTCAGAACTCCAGTACGGTAAGCGAAAACGCGGTAGCCGGTACCTAAAGTACAGGAACGCTCTGAAAAGGGGCCCACCCACTGAACGACTCCCCTGCACTCTTACACCGGACGTCCGATCTCCGTCCGGAGTCAGAACCCGGTCAGAGTAGGGAACCTGCCTCAACATTCAAACCGAAACGCATTACTGCTTCACGGCAGAAATAGGTAGGTTAGTGGTAAATACAGTCGCCGAGGCCGAAATCGGACGACATCATCATCATGAAATTTAAGAAATCTTGCATTAATCTACGGCCGTCCGTTCACTGAGCAAAATGCTCGTTGAAATATTTTACCTTGCCATCAGATAATAATAACAAAAGCATTTCAAATTACGCCTGTAGAAAAACAAGTATTGGATTGATAACGGTATTAAATGTATTTTTATAGTTCAAGTTTTGTAATTGATGTCATAAAAAAAAAAACAAAACAACGAGTCAGGATTACTTTGAAATAAAGCGCCTGTCTCCGCAACAATAAGGTATAAAATAACAATTTACTCACCTTTCTTACGGGTATATGTGCGATTAATTCAAAATGCTTGACGACTTCATCCAAATATTCAAAGTCAGACTCAGTTTTAGATATTTCGGTGAAAATGGTAATGCAATCTTCAAGCGACACGTTCGCACCAAGAATGAGGTTTTGGTCGATTTTGAAAGTCTTAAGTGCCATCACGTCACTAATATCTATTAGAACTCTTTCGTATTCAAATGTTTCTACAATACCTAAAGCAGACAGGAAATGTCGTGAATGATATTAAATAGGCATTTAATTGACACAGGTGGCTTGAAATTCGATTCGGTGCTCGATGATTGCAAAAGGAATAACACATAAAACTATCTCTAAAAGATTTTATTATTCCTTTGAATATTGTATTAACTGTAAAATTACTATATAGTTATATGTATGTAAGTTATACATACATATATATTTACACTTATGTATTTTGTGAATGTATTTGTAATCTATATCTAATATATAAAATTCCCGTGTCACAGTTTTCGTTGCCATACTCCTCCGAAACGGCTTGACCGATTTTGATGAAATTTTTTGTGCTTATCCGGTATCTATGAGAATCGGCCAACATCTATTTTTCATCCTCCTAAATGTTAGGGGTAGTTCACCCCTAAAATTTTTTATTTGGTTTTTAGACAAAATTTTTAATTTCTATTTTTTTATGATACAACGTACAAAAATACATACAATCCTAAATTTTCACCCCTCTACGATCAACCCCTATTTTTTATTTGTTAATTATAAATTTTAAATTTTTTGGCAAGATTTTATTTTTTATTTTGTCATGACTTAAAGTAAAAAAAAATATATTACTCTCAATTTTCACTCTTATAGGATCAACCCCTATTTTTCCATCCCGTTTTTTTTTTTTATTCTATGCACAGATCCTCAATAAGGTTGCAAGATGCCAATCAAATATTATAATTGTAGTACGATAAATTCTTATTCAGAGTTTATAATTTCAAGTTCCTTTATTTATGATTTTTTTTTAAATTCAATTTGATCTCCTGCCCTCGCCGGTCGACTACTGATCAACTATCAATCGATCAGTTATCCCCGTCAGGTGTCACCACTCATCCAGCAAACATCACGTAGTAGGGATGAGGACGAAGCCGGTCTCCTGTCTTACTCACTATACATTTTTCAGACATGTTTCTTTGGTTTTATTTGTGTATCAATCATGTTCAGTAGGTCTGAGAATCGGCTACTATCTATATTTCATATCCCTAAGTGATAAGGGTTGTCCACACCAAACATTTTTTTTTTTTAATTTCTTTTTTGGTTGTAATGAGGTATGAGGTATAGTCCCCAGCACGTGACTTGGCAAGAGTCGCTAGATGCGTAGAAGTCGTTTTTTAGGTCTCTTTGGTTGTCAAGCGGGACGCGGGGAAAGACGTAGCACCGTTCCGAGCGCGCGATTGCTGAGTCAGTCGACCCTCCCCTCCCGCACCGCGTCCACGTTCCGTTCGCTCACGGTTACACATGCGCCTACTAAAGTTGTAGGAACCCTTTGTTTATATTGAGTTTTTGTTACGAGTTGTTATTATTGTTTTAAATTTAGTTTTTGTTACGAGTGTTATTGGAACGAAGTTCCTTACGGCAGGCTTGGAGGGGATAGGGATTTTGCTGCGCGACTGAACTGAAAAAAATGTGATAGTAAAAACGTAAGAAAAAATCCGTGGAAAAAATCAATGGAAAAAAGTGCGTGGAATAAAACCGTTAAATGAGACGTGCGCAGGCGCGACAGTCACACACAAGCGAGTAGTGTATAATACCTTTCTCTTTCTCCCTCTTTCTTTTCGTTCTCTCATCCATTCTCTTTCTATTTTACGTAATTTATTATTTCCTAAAATGCTGAATTTCCTAAATACTTTCCTATACTTAAATAAAAACTAATCAGCAAAATTTAAGAGAAAAATCAAGAAAACCAAAATAAAATTGAGCACGATTTTTTTTTTTGCAAATTGTGTCGATTCTACATTAGCCGAAGGAACTTCGTTCCTACCTGGTGTCCCACGACACCACATTTTCATTTTTGTTTTAAATTTGTTTGCAATGGTAGGACAAAATACCAATGACCATAATTATAATCGATTCAGTCACTGAGCGTTTTATTATTTACGCCAGTGACGACAGCGACTCTTCGTTATGTCGACGATGAGGAGCCAACTCCTTCCACCAGCTCAGGTGCTACCATAAATTTAATCCAAGGGGTAGCACTATTAGAAAATGATAGTGACGACGGCGACACATAATTTTTAATATTAAGTATATTTTTTTAAATAAACTTTTTAACTTTTAATTGTATTT